AACGTTTGTCATAATCATATTCTAGTTTGAAATTTTCCATCTGTGTCAATATCGAGGAAAATATCAAGAAATGAATAAACACCCGAAGATAACCCTAAAACAGCTTTTTTGATAGATTTTGATAAATTGTTTATACTTATATACATGATATATACATCACAAATTTATATAAAGTACATTGTTAATCAATACTAAAATTCTGTAGGAGGTAAAAGCTACATTTTTATAATATTGACTATCGGATATAAATGAATTCATTTTAGTTAGCGACCTCGTTCGATATAAAAGCTTACATAAACAATGAAAAATTTTCACTTTTGTTTTAAATGTCTTGCAGCTATAACTTGTAGTGTTGAATAATATGTTGAAGTGATCCAAATATGTATAATTATATGATATAGACTTTTTACTATTAAATATCTGATAAAAGACGACAACCTTTAGATTTTGACACTGTGAGTGAAACAAATTCAGAGGAAACTGACCCTACCTTTATTCACATGAATTTAACTTCACATGAATTGCACGTTTAAGCTCGATTCACAGGAACATTTTCTTTTGAATTTCCAAATAATTTTACATGTAATTCATGTGAAAAAAATTGCCTGTATTCATGTTAAACCTAAAAAAAACTTTGAATGGTTTGATTTCAGAATAAATCGTTATATATTTTTTCGATTTCCAAGAATGTTTTATTTTCATTTTATTTTTATTATTAAATTGGTTTATGAAGCTCTCCCTGTGTTTTTGATTAAATGATAAACAAACTTATTCAACGATGACAAAAGACACAAAGTACTGATCTCAGAGTAATCGTATTTACTGAAACCTAAGTCGAAGTCTAATTTTCTCTAATAAATAGACCACGTTTTAGTAGACTGAAATATCAATCTGTATATCTCAAACGGAAAGTTCATATTTTTCAAACATTTTTTTTTATTACACCTTATAAGTATGAATAAAATGGCATGTGTTATGATACTCTAATGAGCCAATAACCAAGCAATAACATCAAAGCAAAACAGGCAGACGGGTATTCGTGCAATCTTTAACAAAAGACAGTCAAAGAAAAAAAGAGAGAGAGAAGGGGGGAGTAGATACCAAAAGAGACTCATAAGTCGAAATAATTAAACTGACAATGCCATGGCTAAAAAAGAAAAAGAAAAAGACAAAGACAAACAACAGTACACAAAAGAACATAGAAAACCAAAGACTGAGCAATACGAACCCCACCAAAAACTGGGGGTGATCTCAGGTGCTCAGGAAGGGAAAGCAAATCCTACTCCACATGTGGCACCGTCGTGTTGCTCATGTAAGTACAAACCCGGTGATATGTATAATTCGGTAGGTCAAATCCCCTGGGAAGGGGACGATATTGTAGTTACGACAATTGGAACATATCCGTCGTTATCTGTGAAACAGATATTCCATAACGGTCAAACAACTCATGGTAGTGTCCGTAAAATTTACGAAGGAATGTATTCAACTTCACCACCTGGAACTCTTGGTTTAATAGCTTCCTTGCGAGCAGCAACCCTCTACCAAGGAAATCATGATAGGAAACACAAGACCTGGAATATCGTATCAACTGGGATAAACAAAGAACTTAGTCAGAGAAAACAGACAACACCATGACCAAACAGAAAAAAAACTTAGTATCAGTCGTTAGATATCCAAATGGATTTCAGACAACATCATAATGCCCTTTTCAAATGGTTTTGTGCAACTATCAAGTTGACTAACAATTTATAAAGAGGGTCCAAACAATAAATTTTGATAAAATTCAAATATTACTATTTTTATTATTATCAAAAATATATATGGAGACGCTAAAGTGCGATAGTCAGTTCTCTGATGGGCGATGGTATATATTACGCGTAATAGCTATTTTGAAATCTACAGATGTTCAATTTTTAGATCTACTGTTGACAAAGCTTGAGTAAAGATCATCTAATTTTTATTGAAATTTCAATGTGAATAACAATATACCCTATACTCGCTATAACTTAAAGCTAGGGAAATCGTATTATTCGAAAGGAAGCTTTTATTTCAATAAGTCGAACCGGAAAATTTCCAATTTACGTTAGAAATGAGTTGAAAGCTAATTTAATGTTTTTTTGCAATTTTAGATTACATTACGAAATGATTTTGTTAAGTAGATGACCTCACGTTTGTAATGTCCGTTTAAACTGAGGCGCCAACACCCTGTTTCTCAATATTCTATTATATTATAAGTATGAAAACTGCTTGTAACTTTTTGCCAGTAGTAAAAGCTTAACCCATTTTAACCCCTTGAAGGGCAGTGCTGACCTGTAGGAAGTATTTGCTCACTTGTACTGTTTTTCTTCGGTCAAGGCACAGTCGATTAAAAACATTTATCAATAGTATAGGTGTATAGGTTGTCGTATTATGTGCCATGGACTAACATGGCCGTTGTACTTATATGGCCGAATAAATTCCCTGGATTCAGAAAATTTAAGGGGTTAACATATATAAGTTTAGTACAAAAAATGTAACACCTATATTTTTTTACTATCACAAAGGTCGAAACAGTGAACAGTCATTAAAATTAACAAAAAAAATGTAAAATTAGGAATGAATTTTCAAACATAAATGGAATAGCCAAAAAGTTTAAACCTTTCAACTTCGGGGCACAACATACAGTCGAATAATGTTTCGTTACATTTCATAAAAATCCGTTTTTTGTATTGTTTTACCGAAATTTGGTGTATTAATGAAACGTTTTTAGTATTCATCAGCCATTCCGAAGCTCACCAAGCCTTTAAGGTAGGGTATGGTAGACCGATTGCGTATGCTAAAGGAATATTATTTAGATGTAGAATTGAATTGAAACGTAGAAACATAATAATCAGAATATATGATTTGTTTTTTGTTCTGTCTTCAGCAAAAAAATCCCTTGATTTAAATATCATTATGTCACCATTAAAATTAAAAAGAGAGACGTCTCAACGAAAATAGGTGAAGTTGGAGGACAATATTCGAAAGTATTAAAGGTCTTTCCGAAGAGATGTTTTTGTATCCCAAATGAAGAGATGAAATTAGAAAAGCAATAAAAAAAAGCAAAAAAAAAACAAAAAACAAAAACAAACACAAAAAATGTCCACAGTCAGAAATTCCCCAACAAAAAATACAAAAAGAAGAGGGAAAGATAGAAGAAAAAAGTTTAAAAAAAAAAACAGTAATGACACAGGTTGATGCCATAAACAAGTTGATTTACTTTTATAAATTGTAACTTGGATGGAGAGTTATCTCATTGGCACTCATACCACATCTTCCTATATCTAATACACTTTTCATGGGTATTGTAGTTGATTACGTATGTTGAGTAATTGAAATCCCAGGAAAACTGTTTTGAAAACACAGCAACACTCTCCTCAATGAGAAAATCCGAAGTAAACTTTATCAACGGATGAAATCAAATATCAACTAGTGAGTACGCCGTGTCTCCGTATAACGATTTATATACACTGACGTCCTATAAAAACGCAACACGAATTTTTGTGGTTTTTTTTACCACATCATAATGAATCTCCATAAATAATGAGTTTCGTTGCTTACCATACAGATACAGGTAAACGGATAAATCCGGTGCAAAAACGTCCCTCAGTAGTTTAAAATTTGTCGCTAAAGTGTGCAACACAGCGAGAAAATCCCGCACCTGGAGCCAGGCTTTCAGCTAGCCCCTAAACAATAATGTATACTAGTTCAGCGAAAATTGACGTCACACAGCGAGAAAACATATTCATAAATGAATCAAAATTAAAAATTATACAAGACTAACAAAGGTCAGAGGATCCTGACTTTGGACAAGCGTAAAAAAGCAGAGCGGTTAAACATGTTTTGTGAGATCTCAACCCTTCCCCTATACCTCTAGCAAATGTGGAATAAACAAAAACACAGCAATACGCACAGTAAAACTCAGTTTAAAGAAGTCCGAGTCCGATGTTAGAATAGGTAACAGAAGAAACTAAGCAAATGACAATGATCAACATAAATTAACAAAGGACTACTAGCAGTTACTGACATGCCAGCTCTAGACCTCAATTAAACTGATCGAAAGATTATTTCTTCATCTGATGAAAATCAAGCACAATCCCTCCCGTTAGGGGTTCAGTATTATATCATCATAAAAGACCTATAACCCGTATCATGCCAACAACTGATTTTAAATAAATGAGTTTATTTCCGATGCAAAGACTCTATGAGTGAATCAATATCAATTCCAAAAAAATGCAACCTTTAATGATCTGACAGCAGTATCGTAACTAAATCCCTTCTGAATAAGTCTTTTTAAAGGTTTGGTTAGCTTTTGAGGTGAATACCGACTTTTCAGTATCTTCTGTTTTGACCGGGCCAGATTTGGTGATGTTACTTCTTACAAAGTCTATCCGAATCATTTTGCAAAGAACTCCCCTCAAACCGGTGCTGGGGCCGTATTGAAGTTTTTTTTGCTCCATGTTGAAGGCCTCAATGCGACTTTCAGATGAAAAACAGTTATAAAAGCGCCTTTTTGTGTTTTTTTCTGTGCATGTACTGATTTTGTGTAATGGATGGATACCACATGCCATATCCTTTGTTTTTGTATTGTATATATGTCTCTGGCGAGACAGAGGTAAATTAAAAAGGGACAAACAAAATCAAACATCCCCATCAGAACGGTCAATCATTAAGGCGTTTGCTACAAGCAGTTATTGCCTTCGACAGTGAAACATTCATTGATAAGGAGAAAACCCGGGTTTTAATGCATACACCATGTACAACATGATTGGAACATTAAACGTGACGCAATCAATTCAATTTTTGTTCTGCAAATTTTATTTAGACAATTACGATGAATGAAATTAATTTTTATTTGTTTATTTTACATATATGGCATACTTTTACTTGTATTGAAAATAAAAATTAAAAAAGATTAATCTAGTGTCGTGTTTTAAAGGTTCGTCAGTATATATCAATGTGTATCATGTGATCTTTTTTCTTCCTTGTTAAAGAAGATGGATGCATTACACCTGATTGATTGTTTTTAGGTATTTTATTTAGGTAAGGCGTACACAATTTAAACATAATAAATATATTTTATACATATATAGATATAGGAAGATGTGGTATGAGTGCCAATGAGACAACTCTCCATCCAAGTTACAATTTATAAAAGTAAACTATTATAGGTCAAGGTACGGCCTTTTTAAAGAATTGTGTGACAGGTATTTCATTCATTATTTATTTTATTCCAAAGAATGTGTCTCAAATTTATCTCAAAGTTTACTAATTTAAAAATGAAAACGGGTCATAACATGCCGTAAAAAATGGCACGAACTTAAAATAACCAATAAACTGACAAAATTATTGATACGCTGATCAATTCTATACCTGTATACCTTGTATATTTGTTTAAAAGTAGCCCCAATTGATAATCATTTCAACAGACATTATCTTTGAGAAAGTCAGAAATAATGTTTAATTGATAAAATTGAGTATGGAAATGGGGAATATGTCAAAGAGACAACAACCCGACCAAAGAGCAGATAACAGACGAAGGCCACCAATGGGTCTTCAATGCAGCGAGAAAATTGATAGAATATATATGAGTCATATATACTAAACTCGCAGGTAATGCACCATTTAATTAGTAAAGTGATTTTGCAAGATCATTTTTTTGCAGTTTGGTTAATTTAAACTGGCTGATTAAAAATATTAAAAATACTCATTTACCCTTAACATAGATAAGTGTCAGATAGACTAGAGAAAACACCGATTTATTCACCAGGCGGGCGCACATAAGTGAGGTTTATTATCCATTTTAAGTTCAGGTTTGACAAAAATAAAATTGGAGTTTGCAATCAACTTTGATGTATTTTATTTAAAGTTGAAGGGCGAGTAAGAACAACTATTTTCGAGGCAGACATGCAGATGTTTTCATTTATTTATGAAATAATTTCATTTATTGAATGCTGTGTACGTCTTTTGGCTTGTCAAAAGTATATCGTATATATATCATATTTGGTACAGTTTAAGAAACGTTTGAGGTTAGAGATATACATGATATATATATGCAATTTTACTAAATTACGTAAAAAAAATCGGAGTTTAAAGCACTAGAGTTCATTCGCAAGCGTGCATGGAGAATTTGTCCAATGCGATTTCCAACATTATTATGTGTGGGAACCTTCTTATTTTGTTTACAAATATGTTTTTTAAATAGAAAGAGAGAGTCGCATTGTCTTATATTAAAAGGTATCTTATTCCATAATTTCACGGTTGCAGGGAAAAAGTATTCAGAACATTAGCGAGTTCTTGTACCGATTTCTAAGATATTTAGACGTTGCCTTGTATTATGGTTATGCCTACTTTCTACTAAACCTTGCTCAATTTGATAGGTTACTAGTCTAAATATCACACGTTATGAAAGTCGGTAAGATAAATTCGTTACATAGTGTGCTAGTGACGTAATACGGTATATATGGGGTCAGTAAATTCCATATATACCGTATTAGGTCACTAGCACACTATGTAACTAATAATCTGCAAGGGATGCCAAGAAAGCTAAAGTGGTCAGACAGGAGATATTAGAAAAAGAGTGACAGTGGAATACCAGATAAAACCTCTTTAAAGAAGTATACGTAGTTGTAGCAAAGATTATACACCATTATGTTACGGTTATCCCATAATTATATGTTTTTATTTCTAAGGGAAAGAGTAATAAATGAAATGCGATTTATTCAAATTTTTAAACCAAAGGTAAATATGGTATGACGACATCCAGGCGATTGTTTTAACGTCATAAACACAATAAATACAACGTAGTATCAACCTCCCCATCGGTAAGGATTTGTCCTAGATATACACACCAAGAAACATGCCACAAAAAACCATCTCGAAACATTTAAAACTAAAACAAAATAAGATAACAAAACAGATTTATAACAATTTTAAAGAGTAATATAAACACTTACAAAACAAACGACTTCGAAAGGGCTTTCGGAAGCAAGTAAACATATTTAAAAAAAAAAAAAACACACATAAGAGTGGAGCTAGATAATTGACAAGAATTGCTAAACAATTGGATAGTGATTAACATATTTATGGTTCTTTTTTTCAGAGATCCCAATGGCCTCTAACACAAGTTTATGTGGGATATGTTTACTTCGACAGATAACGAAAACATCGAAACACTGGTGCCCGCAATGTGAAGAAGCTATTTGTGATGAGTGCAGAGAGTACCATAAGTTACTAAAAGTTACACGAAGTCACGAACCTATACCAATTTCGAATTACAAATCAATTCCGTCATTCATAACTGACATACAGCAATCATGTATCTATCATAATGAAATATATCAACAATATTGCGTTGAACATGCGTTACCGATTTGTTTCAAATGCATTAATGACCATCATAAATGTAACGTCACTACTCTTGAGAAAGTCACTAATAATGTCAAGACGTCTGAGCAATTTTTAGATTTAGAATCAAGACTCGACGACTTATTACAAAACATTGATAGAATTAAAAAGGACAGAAATTCTAATGTGACTAAAATTGAAGAAATGAAAACGCAACTTGTTAAAGAAATTCGACAGAAAAGAGCGGAAATAAACAAACACTTAGAAAATTTAGAGAAACAAGTTATTAAAGATCTTGAAGCGAAAGAGTGTCAATGTAAGGAGAGTATTCAGCAGGTTTTATCGTCAGTTATAGAAAAAGAGACCATGATAACTCAATGTCTGACCAATTTTCAAAGCATCAAACAATATGCATCCGATCTTCAAACATTTCTTGGAATAAGAGAAATTGAGGTGAAAGTTTACAAAAATGAACAATATCTACAGTCATTGATAGAAGCAAAAGTTTGGGGCAGCTTGAACTAGTGTGGAAGGTAGACCCAGTTGTGCAAAGTATTTTAAGCAGTTTAAAGAACTTTGGATCAATTGAAATGAAAACAAAAATAAGCAACATTGAGTTTACTAGAACTAAAAACAAACAAGCACAGTTACAAGTAGCTACGGCGAAAAAGACTATTGACGATGTGAAGTTGATTCTACAGAAGAAGATTACAACAGACCTAAATACAGTTAGGGGTTGTTGTATGTCAGAAGAGGGGGACCTTTTGTTCACTAGTCACAGCTCACAAAAATTTGTCACCGTATTTGCATCGGATAATAAACTCAAATATACTATACTACTAGATCCTAGTTATGGGTTTGACATAGCACTGATTGACGAGAAAACTGTTGCCATAACTACTGGGAATTCAGGAAAAAAGATCGGTGTGCATATCATAGATATAAAGAATCGAAGCAAACAAAAGTTCATCAACCTTTCTGGTCGTCCATATGGAATTACCCGAGATCACGACTCGCTATTTGTCTGTGTACAAGAAAGTGGTATATACAAAATTAATACTTCGGACGGCACTACAACTCACGTGATCAGTTGTAGCCTACCGTCACATTCCTACGTTTCTGTTTTCTCCGACAAGATATACTACACTAACTATGACGACAACAGTGTAGAATGTTGTGATCGTAATGGATCACATCTTTGGACTTTTAAAGAGGAATTGGTTTTGAAGGAACCGCAAGGCATCGCCGTTGATATTAATGGAAACTTTTATGTTGTTGGCGAAAAATCATCGAATGTAGTCATTATATCAAACGATGGAAAGCACCACAAACAAATCCTGACCAAAAATGACGGTCTACTTTCTCCTTCTGCTATTTTCCTTGATACAGAGAACAGAAAACTTCTTGTTGCAAATACCAAGATAACTGCTTTCGTTTACAATATTTTGTAAGAATTATTGGAAAGAGATGCATATTAATTAAGTGTTTTAAACAAAACAGTACTAATTATATTGATGAAGATAGGAAAACAAGCGGTTCATAAGAATGTTATAAAATTGAAAGTTGAATAAAGTAATTTTAATGTAAGTAATTAATTCAATGTTGCATTTGTGTGGAAATAAATAAAGCCTGAAATATCAGAAACCTTTTAATCCATACTATTTGTTCCATGGATTAGGCATATTGAAGTGGTTATAGAAATTATTTTAAGTGTATACAGTCAGCTGTTCATATACCGACTAAGCAACATGTATCAAAGACTTAATTTGGTATACTTACTTCATATTTTATACAAGGAACTATTTTATTTAAATAGAGTATTAATACATAATACGTTTTGGAATGCTGGTCAGTAGTTACTTGGGGACACTCGCATGTCTAGGTTTTTAACCAATCAGCAATGAGGTTTCCCAGTCACTGCCGCATGTGCTTCTCTTTTACTAATTGTTTTTCGAGATCATACTAATTAACCAATGAGATTCATAGCTAATTTTGAATTAACCAATCAGCGCTTAATTAGCAGGGCTTTTGTTTTATGCACACAGGCTCAACTATTCCTGAAGCAACGCTTGCTTGCAGCAGCCATTATTATTTTTCTGGGAAAATATTTTCTTTATTATGATCGTAAATTATCGTCATATAATGGATTTATCAATTTCGTATTGGATATGGACACATAATTATGCAAACGTTTAGAACAAACGATGTCCAAGAATACGTACATGTGCGCAGTACAAGTAAAAACAGTCCGACGAAAATCTATGATTTGTATATAGCTGGACTTTGCATCATTGTGTTATGTCTGCTTATTCCTTTGATACCTTCAAAGCTGTGCTTTTTACATCTATGATGCCACCAACTCGTCAGTGAGACGGGATTGGCAATAGTATAACTTTCCATGTTTGCCGTGTGACTGTCTTTACATTAGCGTTTATATATGCATAATATTCTCAGCGGAATATAAATTTAAAATATGTCTAACGACGAAGAGATCACATTTATGGCCTTGTCCGACAAACAATCTGACAAAGTAAGAACATGGGCCGGAGTCATGAAGCTTAGCGAAGATACCACAAATACAATCCTGGAGCTAGGATTTGAAAACATGGAAGCTGTGTCGTTAATTGAAGCCAACGATTTGGCGGAGACAAATATGCCAATTGGGCAAAGAAAACTGTTGTTAAGGGCGGTTGAGAAGACTTTCCGAAAGGACATAAGTGCCGAGACAGTGGACATGGCAGCGCCGAAACGTAGGACATGCGCACAGGGAGAAAGCGAGCACGGACATGCTTCCGATGTAAATAAAGATGGCGGCGCCCACAGCTTAATTCAAGATGGCGGCGCCCATAGCTTATTCCAAGATGGCGGCAACAAACAAGACGACGGCTATATCCAGGCGGTGCTTCAGCAGTTAGCAGTCAGCCAGAAACAACATGAACATTCACCTGATCCCATTGGAGGTAGTTATAACCCGAATGCAGTTTCTATGAACACTGTCAATTCTAATATATCTTGGCAAGACCCTCAAATTTATTTACAATCTGCTAGCATAGACTGTAAAATAGTGTACAATGACATTTCAGACTTTGTTTCCTATGATATAGGGGGGACCAGCATGTCTGAGGAGCGCCTTATTTCAGATACTTCAGGGGGGGCAACTGGTTTTTAAATCTGGCCCTTTAAGGCCCAAACTTGAGTCCCTGTCTTTGTGTCAGTGGTCGAGGGCAAATTTATCTATCATGTACAAGTTATTAAGCACAGGAGAACTGACACAGACACAGGTTCTTGACTATCTATCCTATACCATGAGATTTTATCATTTAGTTTCATCATGTGAATTTATGTCGGTGCTGTTTTTTGATAGGGAATACCGCAGACTCCAAAAACAGCACAATTTTAGATGGGGCACTGACATCCCTCATTTACAGTCAGTTTATCTTCGGCCAAAAGCCATATACACTAAACCTCAGGCATCTGGTCCATCTGTTAAGTTTGCACCTAAGCAACAACAGGATAATTCTAAATATGCATCTCATTCTGCAGAAGGTGTTGAAATTTGTAGGAAGTTCAACAGTAGGAAAGGTTGCTTGTTACAACACTGTCGCTATACACACATTTGTGCTATCCAGGGGTGTGGGCTGAACACCAAGCATTTGCTCATTCAAAAAACTGGGCATAATGGTAAAGCCAGTGCGTGACCTTGTTTATACTGTTTGGCAAGAGGAACTTAAAAATGATTCTGATAAAGAATTTCTTTTAAATGGCATAAAAAATGGGTTTGACATTGTTCAGGATATAAATTTGGCCCCACTTAACATTTCAGCAAAAAATCATCCTTCAGCACATATTTCAAGTCCTTTATACGATAAAGCTCATCAACAAATTTTAATTGAAATTGAAAATGGTAATTATGAGTTGGCAACGTCCACACCAAAAATTATCAGTCCTTTAGATGTCATTTCAAAACCAGATCGGGGTGTAAGGATAATTCATGATTGCAGTAGACCCATAGGGTCAGCTGTTAATGATTTTGCAGGGGATATGGATAAGCAAAAATTTCAATCTGTTGATGATGCAGCAAAATTAGTGACAAAAAATTGTTTCATGTCCAAAGTTGATTTAAAATCGGCCTACAGATTTGTGGGTATCAGTCGCAGTAGCCAACAGGTAACAGGTTTACAGTGGACTTTCCCTGACGGTCAGACACATATTTTTATAGATAAGAAATTACCTTTTGGCTCTAAATTAGCACCTGGTATTTTCCATTGACTTTCACAGGCTATTCGCCGCATGATGTCACGCAGAGGCTTTACCATTATAGCATATTTAGATGATTTTTTCATTTGCGAAAGCACTAAGCAGCGCTGTGCACATGGCCTAAGGGTTTTAATTTACTTGCTGCGCAAGTTAGGCTTTGCAATAAATTGGTCCAAGGTCTTGGACCCATGCCAGAAATTAGTATTTTTAGGTGTGGAGATAGACGCCACAACATTCGAATTAAGATTACCTAGTACAAAACTAGAGCAGTTAAGGCAAGATTTGGCAGATTTTCAGCAGCGCAAGCATGTTTCTAAGAAACAACTGCAGTCCCTGGCGGGAAAACTAAACTGGACTTCTTCAGTGGTTCGCGGCGGAAGAGTTTTTCTTCGGAGAATCATTGATGGCATTACGAAGCTTAAGCATGATTGGCACAAAATGCGCTTATGCGGGGATATTTTGCATGATATTCACTTGTGGTACAATTTCATGTCCACTTTTAATGGGAAATCCTTCTTACTTAACACTGATCCTGTCACCTCAGTTTATACTGATGCTTGCAAACCAGGTGCAGGTGGAGTTTTTGGTACTGATTTGTTTTATGTAAATTGGAAAGAGGATTTCCCATTTGCGCAAACTTTGCATATTAATGAGCAAGAAGCATTTGCAGTGGCTTTGGCGGCCAAGCGTTGGGCTAAATGTTGGCAAAATAAGCGTGTATATATTTATTGTGATAATTCATCAACTGTTGGTTGTATCAATAAGTGTACCTCTAAGAACAAACTTTTGATGTAATTTTGCGCGAATGGTTTTGGCTGTCTGCTACTAACAATTTTCAACTTGTTGCAATTCATCTGCCTGGGAAGCAGAATGATATGGCTGATGCCGTTTCACGGTTGCATGAGTTAAAGTAATGTCAATTTTTTCTGAAAGAATGCCTACCTACTCCTTTGTTTGTGCATCACCTTGTTTCTCATATGTCATGTCACTCTCTTCGTTTTCTTTTATTTAAGCTCACAGGCACACTTTGATATAGTGTTAATTTTCAGAAGAAACTTGTGCTGAATTCAGGCTCATGAATTCTTGCAACACTTTTCTTTGTCTTAGCATAAGTGTTAAATACCATCAGAAAATTTTGTTTATTGAAAAGGGTACCATGCCTGTCTTTCTATAATCAGCATGTCATGCATGTATTTGTTATTACCAGGCTTCCAATTGCATGAACCTAATCTCCTACTGTAACACAGGTTTGGATTATTTTGGAGTACCACAGTTTTTCAACTTGATTTTGCTTTCTTTGTAAATATGTTTATTGCTTTATTGATATGCAAAGAAAATATTAAACTGTGATTCTTTCTCCCAAACCTGTGTCTGTTTACTTTATTCTTTATACTATTACCAGTTGGCATTTCTTGGTCCCTTTACTGAACTCTGATAAGTGTAAATCAGGTGCCTTTATCTGCACTGTAACTCTTCAGCATTCGGTCAGGGCACCAAAGACATAGCAGACTGGTTATTGGTACAACTGACATATATACAGCATAATAAGGGAGGATCTGGGTGGGACAGTGTTATGAATTAATGGAACTATTTTATTTAAATAGAGTATTAATACATAATACGTTTTGGAATGCTGGTCAGTAGTTACTTGGGGACACTCGCATGTCTAGGTTTTTAACCAATCAGCAATGGGGTTTCCCAGTCACTGCCGCATGTGCTTCTCTTTTACTAATTGTTTTTCGAGATCATACTAATTAACCAATGAGATTCATAGCTAATTTTGAATTAACCAATCAGCGCTTAATTAGCAGGGCTTTTGTTTTATGCACACAGGCTCAACTATTCCTGAAGCAACGCTTGCTTGCAGCAGCCATTATTATTTTACTGGGAAAATATTTTCTTCCCACCCTCCAACTCCCTTAAGGACATTTAATTTTATTTGCTAAAAGATGTATACGCATGTATAATACATTTTTTTATTTGATAAGAAACATCAACTTCACATATCTTTTTGTATTGTTTAATTTAGTAGAGTAGTATTGTTTAAAGAACTCACAGTTATTATGTACTTTTTGTTAGGAGTACCACAGTTTTTCAACTTGATTTTGCTTTCTTTGTAAATATGTTTATTGCTTTATTGATATGCAAAGAAAATATTAAACTGTGATTCTTTCTCCCAAACCTGTGTCTGTTTACTTTATTCTTTATACTATTACCAGTTGGCATTTCTTGGTCCCTTTACTGAACTCTGATAAGTGTAAATCAGGTGCCTTTATCTGCACTGTAACTTTTCAGCATTCGGTCAGGGCACCAAAGACATAGCAGACTGGTTATTGGT